AGATTTGCAAACAGCATATCAGATAAAGGGTTAGTATCCAAAATCTATAAAGAACTTACCAAACTCAACACCCAAAAAACAAATAATCCAGTGAAGAAATGGGCAGAAGACATGAATAGACACTTCTCCAAAGAAGACATCCACATGGCCAACCGACACATGAAAAAAAATGCTCAACATCACTCATCAGGGAAATACAAATCAAAACCACAATGAGATACCACCTTACACCAGTCAGAATGGCTAACATTAACAACTCGGGCAACAACAGATGTTGGCAAGGATGTGGAGAAAAGAGGATCTCTTTTGCACTGCTGGTGGGAATGCAAACTGATGCAGCCACTCTGGAAAACAGTATGGAGGTTCCTCAAAAAATCAGAACTACAATATGACCCAGCAATTGCACTCACTACTAGGTATTTATCTAAGGGATACAAGTGTGCTGTTTCAAAGAGGCACATGCACCCCAACATTTATAGCAGCACTATCAACGATAGCCAAAGTATGGAAAGAGCCCAAATGCTCATCGATGGATGAATGGATAAAGAAGATGTGGTACACACACACACACACACACGCATGCACGCACAGGGGAGTATTACTCAGCAGTCAAAAAGAATGAAATCTTGCCATTTGCAACTACGTGGGTGGAACTAGAGCATATTATGCTAACCGAAATTAGAGAAAGATAAATATAGGACTTCACTCATATGAGGACTTTAAGATACAAAACAGATGAACATAAGGGAAGGGAGGCAAAGATAATATAAAAACAGGGAGGGAGACAAAACATAAAAGACTCTTAAATATAGAGAATAAACAGGTTTGGGGGAGGGGTTGAGGGGGGAAGGGCTAAACGGGTAAGGGGCATTAAGGAATCTACTCCTGAAATCACTGTTGCACTATATGCTAAGTTGGATGTAAATTAAAAAAATAAATTAATATCTGAAAAAACAAAACAAAATAAAAAATGAAAAGTGGAAGGAAAAGGGTACAGCAGTCTCTTCCCACAGGTCTGAGTGGTTTGACCCCAAATGTCCAGGAGTAAAGAGAGAAATACCCCCAGAGTAAAAGAAGATCAACTCCTCATAACCTGAAGTTCACAAAAAAATACTACTCAACTGGCTCCGAATTCTATGCTTCCCAAGCAAACAACCTTCTAATTTTTAATGTGGTCTTAGCCTAGAACCCAGCAGGAGGGAATCTCTGGTTTAGAGAGATTCCAGATCTTGAGCCAGATATACATCTATCACTGTAAGTTGGTATTTTGACTTATAAACCTGTTTTTAGATCTCTCTTTTTTAATGTTTATTTATTTTTAAGAGAGAGAGAGAGAGTGCGAGCAGGAGAGGGACAGAGAGGGACAGAATCCAAAGCAGGCTCCAGGTTCTGAACTGTCAGCACAGGGCCTGACTTGGGGCTCAAACTCACAAGCGTGAGATCATGACCTGAGCCGAAGTTGGACACTTAACTGACTGAGCCACCCAGGCACCCCTAGATCTCTTAATGTGATCTTTTCTCAGAATTTAATACTTGTAGAGAAGCAATTTCTGAACCATCAACCGACAAGGATCATACTGACCTGATTCTACAGTGACCACACCAAGATGCACATCAACACCAGAACAGCAGACACTCTCTATCTGGCCACCACACATCAGTCAACTACTCTTCTAGCAGCCAAGACAGAAAATCCCACAGAATTCTCCAGACCATCCACTCCTAGAGAATCCTGAATTGAGTTTATATTCTGACCATCCTGAAAGGGTGGACCAGGCTAATGGTATGCCAAACTGAACCTCCAATATGGTTTAAATAAATGTGATGTGCTTCCTTTTGAAAGATTGAGATCTTTAATTACTGAAAATACTTAAATAGAGATTAGAATGATCACGAGCAAACTCCCTCACATACAGCATCCCAACTATACTGCTCTAACTTCTCACAGCAACTCCCTTCTACCCCATGGAGGAGCCAGGACACCTAGGCTCTAGCTGCAGTTCTCGTTAACATGTTACATAATCTCAATTTCCTTGTATGTAAAATGCTCACTGTTTTATCCCCAGCAGAGTTCCTAGCACACAGCAGGCAGTCAATAAATATTTGTTTAACAAATTAATCAACATTGGCAAGATCAATTGCAATAATTATTCTGAAAGATGTGTACTGTGCAAATATAACTCGTGTCCCCAAGTCTTCCTATTGCCAAATATTGGTATAGAAAAGGGCTGAGCTGGAAGATGAGATTTAGGCCTCTGAAAATAACTAAGCTTGGCCAAAATTATAAAGGAGAGGAAGATCTAGCTGAGCCACCATCAACAGCTTGGATTATAAAACAATGACAAAATTGTCAAAATGTGGGTTAAGTTCTAGTTCCAATAATCTGACAAAAACATTTAGTGAGAGCATGCTATGTGCCACAGCCAGGTAAATAACCAAGACATGCTACTCAAAAAGGAAGGAGGAGAGGGGTAGCTGGGTGGCTTAGTCAATTGAGCGTCCAACTCTGATTTCGGCTCAGGTCATGATCCCAGGGTTGTGGGATCAAGCCTTGTGTCAGGCTCTGTGCTGAGTGTGGAGCCTGCTTAAGATTCTCTCCCAGTCTGTCTGTCTGTCTGTCTCTCTCTCTCTCCCCCTCCATCTACCCCTCTCCTCCGCTTGCACTCTCTAAAATAAATAAATAAATTTTTAAAAATTTTAATAAAAAAAAAATTCTTAAATTAAAACTCTGGCAACAAGTTGCCATGAGACCTTTTCCCATGCAAAAACTGTAGGAAGCACAAATGTTCATTACTGGGGCAAGGGATTCTTGATTTCAGCTCAGGTCATGATCTCATGGTCGTGGAATCGAGCTCCTTCTGCTTGGGATTCTGTTTCTCTCTCCGCCCTTCCCCGCTTCGTGCTGTAACATAAATAAACTTTTTTTTTAAAGGAGGAGTGATATGTAAGCAAGCAACTAAAATACAACGTCGTAAGAATTATAACAGAAATTTATATAAAGTATCACAGAAATGTGGATGAAAAAAGCAGAGCTGGATTAGGAATGGGAGAGCAGGCATGAAAATACAAGGTCAGGGTAACACCCTCAGCAATAGAAGCAGGCAGGGGAAGAACTAGAAAAAAGTCCAGTATACAGGACTAATGTTCTGCCTCAATATAAATCAAAGCATACTATTAGAAAACAGGTCTCTGGCCCTGTGGTCTCGGCATACCCAGGAGTGTAAAGGATGATCCACTGGGATGAAGGGAGAAGATATTTCATACTCTATTTTTTCTTTTAACTAAAAAGAATAAGAAATTAGGCTTTATGAATTTAATGTTCAGCTAGAAATTGGCACCCTTATGAGGTTTCATGCCAGCCAATCACTGCCAGTACTTGACATGTTGGAAGACAGAGTGATGTTCC